AGTGCCAATCACCGACGGACATCGATTGCCATCCATTGACGGCAATCGAATGTGCAAGGAAGGCAGCTTCCACACCTGCGTAGGATATCGCACCCATTCAACAACACACATGGGTCGGGACCAACGGCTTTACTTTCCTTCCGAAGGTAGACGTGACCAGAGATTTTTGTGCCTCAGAAAAATCCCACCGACCTCGGCTGGGATTGAACCCAGACCCATTGGGGTGAAAAGTAGTCACGCTTACCACTACACCAACGGCGCCGGCTTTGCATCTCTTCATGGACAAGTGAATTCACGGGTTCAATCCGCCCTCCCCCCTCAAGAAACGTCTGAATCTTCTGCTGGACAAAGCTCTCCATGCCCTGGAGACCACCAACAGCTAAACAAATAATCCCGATCTGTTTCCAGCAGGTGAACTGATGGAGATTTTCATCAACATGACCAGTGCTCTTCGTAAGTGCCACAGTAAACCCGAACAGATCCAAGTTCTCGATAAGTTTATCATCTAGTATGGTGTCTAAACAACTAACTATCGCTACCTAAAACCAGGGTTGCTTCCACTCACTTGCTACAAAAAAATGATTTCCTGAATTTTGAAATCATTAGATGTTGTAATGATATTTTGTACTTCTTTCCTTTATTTAACGTCGGTCTCTGTTCCGCAATCTAGTGCCAATCACCGACGGACATCGATTGCCATCCATTGACGGCAATCGAATGTGCAGGAAGGCAGCTTCCACACCTGTGTAGGATATCGCACCCATTCAACACACATGGGTCGGGACCAACGGCTTTACTTCCCTTCCGAAGGAAGACGTGACCAGAGATTTTTATGCCTCAGAAAAATCCCACTGACCTCGGCTGGGATTGAACCCAGGCCCATTGGGGTGTTAGAAAGCAGTCACGCTTACCACTACACCACCGGCGCCGGCATATTTTGTACTTGTTGGATACAAGAAGAGGTTGAAAGGCAAGTGTTTGACTCATAAAACCTGTCAATTTCGCTACCAGAGTGTTACAGTCAGCGATCTTATGAATCGTGAGCGTTCACTCAGAGTGAGCGCTCACGAGTCATAAAATCGCTGATTATGACTATCTGAAAGCAAATTTGACAGGTTTCATGTGTCAAACACTTGCCTTAAAACCTCTTCTTGGATGTAACAAGTACAAAATATGATTATAACATCTAATGATTTTAAAATTCAGAAAATCATGTTTTTATAGCAAGTGAGTGGAACCAAGCCTGCCTAGACGCTTGCTCTGTAAGAGTAAAACAGATTGAGCTTGCCGACTTCCTCCGCAAGCACAGCAACGACGTAGGGCTTCTAACAAAAACCCACCTAAAGTCCGGTGACAGCTTCTGGTTGCCTGACTACAACATTATCCGGGTTGATCGCACCAGCTCCAGGGGGGTGGTGTAGATGTCATCGTTAGAAAGGGAATCAAGTTCTGCACTTTGCCTCACACCCATGAAGTCGGTGTCAACGTGGTTCCTGCTAGAAGCTGCCTGCGTAAAGACTACCACCATGTCAACTGGGTGCAGTACGGACAAATGGTGAACAGCAACATCGAAGAAAATCCACCGCTTGACAACGTAGATGACATCGACCGGGCGTTGGAAGGACTCTAACAGGCCAAATCTGTGGCTGACGAAGCATGTGTTCGTCCAGTTCATGTGAGAGGTACGTTTGTTGCTTTTGAAATAAAGCTAATTTTAAAGACAAGTAAGATTTCCAACTCGCTGCTTTTCCACACTCGAAAGGGGAACATATTCTGCCAAGGGAAGATAATTTGTGTTTCATTTGTAAGACGGAGGGGGCATCGGATGAATTCCTGCCCCAAGCGGAAGGATCGGAAGCAGCCAGTACAACACTAACCAGCGCCGTGTAGTGACTGGAGGTGCATCTCCAAATGACGATGCGGTTGAGGTCCTGGACGAAGAGATGGTTGTGATGGATGTGACGTCCCCGGATGCCAGTGGAGACCCAAAAAACAATCGTCTATTGAAGAAACGACTTCAGGACCATTTTATTCAACTGCATGCTTAATAGTACTTGTAATATTTTTTAATAATAACTTCTGCTCAGGCTTTGTTCACACAAATCTGGAGAATTTATTCAATCACAACATTGAACTACTTAGTGTTGTATAATGTATGTCCAGAAGCTTTTATTCGACTTGTATGAGTTGTAACAGGGTTTATACGATAACATTTTTGATTATTCAGCGTTTATTAGACATCACTGCTTCCTTAAAACAGTGATGCTCTGTAAACGCTTGATTTTCATGTGAAGTAACGTTTAATTGGACATTTATTAAACGATTATTCAACTGTAGGAAAATTAACCCGAAAATAAGAGGGCCGGGGACAGGCGAAGGGTGTATTTCTCTTATGTGATTGTTTTCATTATTTCTGACGTAGCACGCACCACACATATATTAGAAAATTTATTATATACATATACAACATGTCGTTGCATGGGATTCGAACCATGTACCTTCCGGTCACCAGCCGATTACCTAGTCATCTGAGCTATCCTAGAATTCATCATATGGGCAACTCAATAATCAATTAAAGCTTGCTTGAAAGTAAATGCCTATCAGCACTCTTAATCGCAACTCTAGCTCCTTCAAGGCCCTGTGGGCAGGGTTGCTTCCACTCACTTGCTATAAAACAATGTTTTTTCGAAATTATGAAATCATTAGATGATATAATGATGTGTTGTACTTGTAAGTAACAAGAAGAGGGTGTAACGTATGTACTTGACTCATAAAACCTGTCAAATTCACTTTCAGAGCGTCACAATCAGCGATCTTATGATTCGCGAGTCTTCACACAGAGTGAGCGCTCACGAATCGTTAAATCGCTGATTGTGACGCGCTGAAAGCAATATTGACAGGTTTTATGTGTCAACCACATACTTCACGACTCCTTGTTGTAGCTTACTTGTACTAATTATCATTATAACATCTAATACTTTTATAATTCTGAAAAACATTTTTTTATAGCAAGTGAGTGGAAGTAACCCTGCCTGTGGGAATGATTAATTCATTCATCGTTGTTTAAGGCCAATTTTACCTCTTCACCTCTCCAATTCGAAGGAAAGGATGCCCGGTTATTTTTTAAACTAGATCAATGCATTCATTGTCATGAGTCATGTGATCGATGATTACTATTTAAATTAATTAGACGTAGAACACCAATACAAAATGGGTTGAGCTTGGAATTGAGAACTCACGACCTTCTTATTGGAAAACGGAAACGGTAATCACTACTACTGATTTCGTCTTGTTGTTAGACTGAACCTGTCGAATAATGAATTTAATACGTCGTTTATAAAGCATTTACAAAGCAACAGTCAACGCTTATACAGCTTTTAATAAGTAAATTAATCAGATCAGAACAAACAGTGGAATAAATGTGCTTCTATCGATTTCAATTAGCTTTTTTCGGCACATAACTCGACAACTCGTTTTATTCAGCATTGTACACTGTTATTCAGCATTTATTCAATATATACGCTTATTTGTGACTCTGAATTGTTTGTTGGGGAGGAAGCAAGCAAGCGCTGCTGAGAAACAGCAGCCGCCTGTTTTCAAGTGCAAAAATCGCATCGCTTTCCAATGTGAATGAAGATCTAATCCACCCTTACCACTAACAAAAACGTCTTTCCTGTGACAATCGTGGATAGGAGATGCAGAGGTAAACTCGATCTCTAGTAACAACGGCTGTCGAAATAACAAACCTTTCCCTCGCCGATGACTGTTAGGATGTGGCCGGTGCCGTTATTGACCTGAAAAGTAATGATTTGCCCGATTTTTCACACTGAGAATGGATTGCTAATTTATTTACATGGTTCTTTGTGCGAATTTCGCTAGATCTTGTCAATCACGGATGCACAGCTACAAAGCAAGACCTTGCTGGAGGGGACTGGGTTCGATTCCCGGCCCGGTCTAGGTTTTTTTTCGGATTGGAAAATTTGTCGGCTTCCCTGGGCATTGAGTATGATTGTACTTGCCAAACAATAATACTAATGCAAAAATTGTACAGGCTTATAATGTTCTCAATTAGCAACCGTGGAAGTGCTCATAAAATACTAAGTTAAGTGCCAGTGTAAAGTCCCAATAAGGACGTAATAAAGCCAAATAAGAAATTTATTTTTTCAAATTTATATTTAAAAATGTTTTATACAAAAGGATTGAGTGGGAAATTGACTCCACGCTCCGTACTACTGGATTTTTTTTTTCAGAATTCAGCTCATTTTTATACTAGCGGTATAAATAACCATAGAGGTAACTCTAAGACTAGTAGGTCCCGAAGAAACGTGTTCAACTTTTTGGCTCAGCTCTGGTACTATCTTCGATCCCAAGCTAATCGATGCACCCCTCGAAACATATGAATATCCACGAACCCCTCATTTTATCTGTCAAACTTTCATAGCGAATCAAAACAAACATTGTGTAGTACTAGAATTTCGACTAGAATGGGGTACGTTAATCGTTTGCTTGGGATCAATAGGCTAGTCAAGTAGTGAGCCAATTTAAAATCGTTAGTTTCGTATTGATTGTTGGTATAACTTTGACATATATGGTAGAACTCTAAGATTAATAATACATGATCATTTGCATTAGGCATGTTCTAAGTGCTTCCTGTCCGGAAATTTTAATGAGTCAAAACATTTTGCATGAAAATTCAAGCACAGACCCACTTATAATTAAGAAACTAAATAAGTAAGAAGGTTAACATATCACCCTAGGTGGATAAATTCCATCAATTTTAATATTTTTTTCATAAAACTAGACCAAATTCCGCATTTGTACAAACAATTTCATAATAATATCTTAATAAATAAGGACATGGTGATTTTATGTATTCCAACTTTTATGTCGGACCCAAACGGGTTCATCAATGGGAGCAAGATAAGTTACTGTCGGACGAGGGTGAGGAAAAGTACGGCTAACACATAAACTTTCCATCCACAGATCTACAATTTACTCACGGCGATGTTGGTTAAACTTGGTTTCATCCGACATACCTGAAAGAACAAGAAGAATAAGATGTTAGAATGGTAAATGCAAATGATGGTCGTGGTTAAAATTCTTCGAATCCTCGTGTCAATATACAGCGATGACATCGGATACCAACCAAAATGGGGCTCCTTTCTAGAAGGTAAACATCGTCAAGAAGGTCGTTACAGTAGCGGGTGGTTGGTTGCGAAACGTTCCCAACGCGGAACGGCATATCAACACCGTCATCATCATCATCACCATCATCATCATCATCATTTCCATTCGCTGGAATGTGCCGTTGAATCAACATAATGGCTTATTTATGTTATTTCTATTTGATCTTTCCGAGCTGATTCGGTTTCGTACTCACGTCCACATTTCGAAACACAGAGAGGTGATGTGTATAGAACGCACCCCCGGGTAGAACGCTCCATTACGTTTTGTATTGTGGTATTGGCATTTTTATAACCAGTAATTTTATGTTTTATCATGCAACACGTTAAGTTGCAACTACATGGCCGATTAAACCAACTCAAATTTGAGTTTCTTGCACTCAAATTCGCAAAAACGTATGTTAATCCAAAGATTGAGAAAAATTTTCGTTGGGTCATTTGAGGAAAATTTTACTCGGCGATTTTGAGTGAAAAACCACTCAATTTTAAGTCAATCTCAGTCGATCTTTATGCCCGACAAAACCATGAAATAGTTATGAAAAAGTGAAATGTTGCGTTTTGTACAGTTCTCCCCTTTTCGTAAGGAAACTTTCGTGTGCTACTTACATACGAATGAAGGTTGAAAGTTCACATGAAGAAACATTGTTGTTTTCGCAGGAATTGCCCAGAGGAGGGCACAGGAAACAAAACACCAGGTAAATTTTCCCGAATTGGGGTTATCTTGAGCGGAATAAATTTACAATGTTGATGCGATCTTGCTCTAAATTTCGAGTTGGCAGAAATATCTGCTCCGAAGTGGTTTTGGCATTTCAAATTTATTAGAATTCACCTTGACGCAACCAAATTGATGCAAAGTGATTAATCATCCTCTGATTGAGGTTGGAAATATTGAAGCCGCACTCAGTTTGTTGTCTCAAAATAACCAAACACGATATGAGCGACACTTCCGTTGTCTGTTTGCCATGTTGAAGCATGGAAAATTATTTTCCCAGAGGCTTACGCAAATAAGCTCTCCGCCTCACCTCCAGCTTGAAAAGAATCAAGAACAGTACCGAGGCATCAGGGATAGGCATAGACATACGGCCATTGTCGTTGTCGTCGTCGTCGTCGTCGGTACCTCGCGAAATTGAAGCCCTCCGGTGTATTTGTGTTTATATTTTTCGCATGATTTTACACAACCACTTACTGCCGGGCTTCCCGGTGTGTTTTTCATTGGCGAATTGAATAAAGTGTAGAAGTTTAATGAAAATGGAAAGCTCCCTGTAATGCTCGCTGCAGCAGCCCCTATGGAATAGGTCCTGTGTACATGGGTACCTACAGTAAATGAAACAAGCACGCACTTAAATTCTGTTTAAAACCGAAATGAGACCGTACGAGCATTAAGTTAACAATGAAGGGTGCGAGGGGAACGCAGTAAAAAAGAATACTTGATGTAAGTGGGTGGTATGGGATTTTCACATTGTTTTTGTATTTTTTTTTATGGAATGACGTCCTTGGCTAGAAGGGAAAAATCGTCATCTGTTGCACGTGGTTTATTTGATTTAGGAACAATTTAAGCAAATTAAAACGTTTGGCACCGAAACGTAAAAATTTCACGTGGTTGGAATTTGTGGAAGTTATGTAGAGTTAGGTGGGGCAAAAGTTCTACCAAAGTTGAAAAACTTGAAATATTTCGAAAATTCATGAATTTGAATCAAACTTATTCCATTTAATGGATCTCTCATGTCCTTGTGGAGTCGGAGTTGGAGTTGAAGTCGGAGGGAATTTCATGGATTGAGGAGTCAAAGTCGGTGAAATTATGCCGGCTTCGACTCCGACTCCTAGATAAATAAAATATTGAATTCAGATTGAATATAGTATTTTTTTTTCCCTTGATTTGTTTTCCGTCGATCTTGTTTTCCGTACTGAGTACTAATGCTCCCACACTTGGACCCTTCCTATCGACCCATTAATTCATAAACCGGGGACCAACGATTTTACTTCCCTTCCGAAGGAAGGCGTAATCAGAGATTTTATGCCTCAGAAAATCCCGGCGGCACCTACTGAGATTGAACCCTGGCCTTTATGGTGAGAGGCAAACATGGTTATCACTACACTACCGGCGCTGATATTGAATATTGTAATACACTCTCCCCCCCGAAGAACGCAAACTCGGTCTACACGAAGTTGTTCAGTGGATCAAGTTAACTTTTGCCGCTTTTGGTTTTGCGGCATACCACAACTTTTATCGGAAGAGAGCTAATATACCGGTCGGTCCTGGAATTCGATACGGGATCGACGATAAACATGCTCTCGTCGGTGAACAGGATTACCGGATTTTTTCGCTTAAGGAAGTGCAAGATTTTCTTGCATCGTTCGACTCGTGATGCAGTAGGTAATCATGTGAGTTTTTTCCGTGCCCTCGACTTCGCCCCGCAATCTTCCTTTACGATCTTCCGTGCCGTAAAGTCACTGATCCCGTGTTCCTTTACCATTTTGCTTATTGAGCGCATTGGATTTACCCGAATCTTCTTTTTGATAGCAGAGATAACCCTCGGAACCCGAGCTGGCCTCGAACGACCTGTGGCCACCTTCACGGATAGTTGTCCTTTCTTTTCTCGGTCTAAAACCCTTTTGACGGTCCACTGGGACACTCCCACGGCGATTGAAATGTCTTTTTGCGACATTTGCGCGTGGGACAAATCACGAATACGCTGCCACTTCATCATGGTGCAACTGTCAAAATGAGTAAATCATTTCTTTTTTAATACACAGCCTACTACGGTTTGAGCTATACACAGATAAAAATTCTGAATTTTAATAGTGATGTAAACATTCATTCACGTAAACTTGTATTTCATTTCACGCAACCGAGCAACTTGTAAACAATGTTGTTTCCAACAATGGGCTTTTGCATACAATATTTGCTACAGTGCATTAAATTTCTCAGAACTTTACATGATACTTAATGTAAACTTATATGATATGTGACCTAGGGGTAGATCACTTGTGGTGCATTTATTATAACAAAAAATAAATAAATGCATTTTGACCACAAACAAAAAAATTAAATGCATTTTCTCAGTGCATTTTTTGTAGCGTGATGCTCTTAGTGACAGTTCCTACCAAAACATGTCGTTCACATCGGTTCGCTCAAATCCACACTCCTGACTCGAGGAATTTGTTTTCCTGAAGCTCCTCGACCAAGAATGCGGAAAAAAATCCTTCGAAATTCCCTTAACCGATGGGAGCATCGGACGCAATAACCTCCGTTGGCAGCACCGAAAATCTCCATCAAAATCGCCCGGAACTCTTTCCGACGTGAACATTTGAAAACACTGTCGAATCTCCCCGGAACATCCGTAACATACAAAATATCCACCGAGATCATGCTATGGTATTCTCTCCGCCCTGAACACTCATAAACTTACTAGAAACTCCTGCAACCTCCTCCGGTAGCAACGGAAATCTTAAACGAAATCGTGCAGAAGCTGCCTCCGGAACTTCCAGTGTCAACATCGAAAACCTCCTCCGAAATCGTGGTAAGCCCGCTTCACCGAGAACGTGAGAAAACCCCGTCAAAATTTCGTTGAACCTTCGTTGGCAGCATAGCAAATCTCCACCAGAATCTTGTGGAAGCTCTTTCACCGAAAACACGAGGAAATGACTTAGACATTTCCTGGAACATCCGTTGCTAGCACCGACAATATCCACCGAAATCGTACTTCTCGACCATGCACACCAGAAAACTGCATCGAAACTACCTGGAACCTTCGCTGACAAAATCGGAAACTTACACCGAAATCATGCAGATCCTCCTCCGTTGAGAAAACTCCGTCGAAATTATTTGGAATCTCCGCTGGAAGCATCAGAAATCGCCACCGAAACCTTGTAGAACCTCGTCCGCCATGAACGCAAGAGAATGCCATCGAAGTTTTGTATTTTCGCATTTTTTTTTAATTGGTCATACTGTATGTAATTGTAATTGTTATTCATTTAGTCAAACGTAATTCGTAAAGTCAAACGACGAGTCTGCGTTTGCAACAGCTAGAACCGTCTCCAAAAGAATTCATTGCTTTTGTTTTGCTTTGTTTTAACGTTCACATCCCACTGAATGGTTGATGTAAACGATGGAAATTAAATGCATTTTTTTTGAAATAAAAAACATCGTCAATAAGCATTTTAAAAGTGAGACGCCCCTAGTATGTGACGCTCCATTTATGTGCATCATACTCAACAGAAATTTACACTACTTTTTCAAACTGTGTACACCAGACTGAGGCAAAATTTGATTTTTTTTGCTCCACAGTGCTCAAGCAGTTCCCAACCTGGTCCTGATTTGCCTTCCAAAATTGAAACTCAATTGTAAAGCAACTGATTTGGCACAAACCATTTAAAGCTTGTATGGAAATTACTATGAGAAAACCAAACTTTTCTGATCATTGACTTCTAGCCTTTTTTGCATATTGCTCTGTTATAAAGTTCCACAACTATTCTTAAAGGGAAATTTTGTCAGGTACAACTTTGCACAAGAACGATTTTCAGCCAAACGTCAATTTAAATAGTTATTATGTATTTAACAGACTAATAATCTTGTGACATGATCAAGCTGCTGCTTTGTGGGCAACACTGTATTCTGCAGTGTGACATAGTAGCCATGATTTGTGTGCTCTATCTATGCGCCAGAAGCACCAATATTGCCTGCTGAACAGTTGATTGAACATAATCATAAGACATCAGTGACTTCAACTATTAATAACTTTTGTTCCTTACATTTTATTTAAATGTGGTTTTGAGATAAGTAGTTGCTACAAGCATAGGGTTAACTACCCCATTTCTGGCCTATTAAGCACAACCCGCACTTAGTCTTTCTT